TTGCTGGTGGTACTTAAGGTTGTATTGTTTTAAATTGGTGGCGTGCAATCTGTCCGTGTGGGAACCACTGTTAGAGGACAGTTTCAGGTTGGATGCAAGGAAGAACTTCTTTACAGTTAAGGCTCACCAGAACCTGGAATAGACTTCCCAAAGGAGGTGGTGCAGTCCCCAACCCTGGAAGTCTTCAGAAGGAGACTGGACAGACACCTTGCTGGGATCATTTGACTTCCACAGTATCCCTGCCCAGAGCAAGGCAGTTGGACTATCTTGAGGGCCCTTCCAGCCCTTAATTTCTATGATTCGGAGCAATGGTTCTTAGGGACCAGGTCCAGAACCAAAGCCAGGCAAGAGTTGACAGACTTACCTGTGAAGAGCTCAGGGGCCATATGGATGGGTGTCCCCACAATACTGCCAGACATCATGGCTTCAGGCTTGCAGAATCCTAGGTCTGTGATTTTGGCTCGGTTCTTTTTGTCAAGCTGTGGAGTCATTCACACATCAGGTGATTTTTAAACCATACTTTAAGCCTATTACTGGCTTTTAATATTAAAAGCCTTTCAAAATTAAGTTTGTTTGAATTGTTAGTTCTCTAGGTAAGTGAGTCAATCATCAACTGCTTTAAGATACTTAGCTGGTTACTGAGAACCTCTTCTCATAAGATTATCATCATCTATCCTATAGCTGGCTGGGGTCAGAACATGACCGGGAGGTCGGAGTCCTCACTCTGATCCCAGCTCCGACGGATTCTGTACCTGCAGGCAAGCCCCTTTGCCTTTTCCCTGTAAGCAGATGCTTGTTTGGCAGGGACATTCAGAAGGATACTGCTACATTTTGCTTCCAAAGCCTTACAGTGTACTACTTACACTACCCATCCCATGAAAGCCTCCAAGTGAATGAAGCTATTCTATTGTTTGCTTCCAAAACTGACATCATACTTTTTAGTTCCCTTTCAAGGGGAAGAGGCAGCGTTAAGAACCAACCAGGAGAGAGAGAGATACCAGGAAGTGCCCCTTACCAATACGTTTTTCAGTTTGATGTCCCGATGAACAAGCCCCTGCCTATGAAGAAACCGGATCCCTTCGACTACATCCAGGGCAATCTGCAGTCGTGGCTCTAACTCTAAGCCAGCCTGAGAAAAGCAGACAAGATGACCGTTGGTCACACAGACAGAAGTCAGTTCTTTTGCCTATAGGATTTCCTGGCCCTTCCCTTTCAGCACTGCCTAGCTACTCGCATGTGCACAGAGATCCTGCTGGAGAAGGCAACAGAATGGGTTTGGCAGAAGCTGCTCTTGTTGCTAGTCTCCTCACACATGAGTTTCCCTGGGTTCAGAACATGAAATCTGCTTACACTGGTCTGCTGATTTCTTTTGATCGGTAATGAAACATGCTGCTATAGTCCCACTATTTACTCTTGTGGAAGTTACTGCTAAATTGGCATGACAGTCTGGTGAAGGCAGCAACATGAAAGGGATGGATGGGCCAATAGCAAAGAGACCACATGACTTCTGCAAAGGAGGTGATCCACAGCATTACAGGCTGTCAGCTGTTAAAGATCAAGGGACACAGCTTCCATTATGCCACCTTTGCCAACACACACAAGCTCAATCAGTTTAGTGTAGCAGCCTTAGCCACATTAAAACATTCCACAACTATTATAGCAACAGAACTGTATCCTCCCCTACAAGATGCCCCCTTCAGAAAGGTCATGGGTTAAGATCACTTCCCCAAGATGCTTTCATTTCTATAATAGTCTTTTGAGTTCTTTATTCACATGTATTAAGCATGTAAGCTGAAATCCCCAACTTGTGTCTGTTTTCTTGATGCAGCACAACTGTCCCACCTTCTACTGTTTAGACAGTTGCAGTGCGTTTATCAAGCCAAGCAGCTGCTCTCGTGCTTCCTTTTCCGAGTTGTCTCTTACCACCATTCTGTTGCATGCCACTCTGGATGCAGCTCCAGCGCTGGGCAAAGAGAAGTCAGTCTCTGGATGGCCAATTCCAAGTGCAAGGTGCGAGTACAGCTTAGGCCATGGATAGGAGTTACATTTGTGTAGAGAACAGGGGTATTCTGCCATGGCTGGAGCCATCCTAGGGCTCCAGGCTGGTTCCCACAGTGGGAGAATGCGCCTCCCCCTCCCTTCCTGCCCCCACAAGTCAGCTGAGCAGCTCCAGGCACATCTGCCTTCTCCACCGTGCACTCCTCTGGGTCACCGCAGTCAGTCACAGCTGATTAACAGGATGGGAAGGGCGAAGTGCCAGTCTCCCTCAGCAGAAACCAGTGGTTTCAGCCACATAAGAATGCCCCCCAAATTCATGCTCATCCATACACTTGATAGCCCAAATTCACAAGTCAAAAACAAGCTGCCTGGTACAATTTATTTCCTGGCTCCCTGAAGAGACCAAAGCTAGCTACGCACTCGCACTTTAAGAAAAATTGCAATCAGCTAATGATAACTTTTCCTGCCCTGGGCACTTGGTGTGCAATTTCCGCAACATATGCACGTAGCACGGTTTCAGGTACTGCTGAATAAACACACGCTGAAGAAAGCCAGACAGTAATATGCCTCAAATAAAAAAAGGGGGATATTTAGGAGGACCCCCGAGGGTGGCCCATCCAACCCAAGACAGAGATCATCTGACAACTACTATAAATCCCTTTTCAGCCAGCATGCCAACTGCAGATTTCCAATTGAGACATTAGAAAAGAGTAAATTAACACCAATACTAAAACAACCCAAGCTGCTTTGGTGCCTCTCACCTTTAGTCCTGTATAGAGGTCTCTGTGCAACCGCTCCATTATCAGGAGGACAGCAATGCTGGAGCCTCCCCCATAGCCATAATCTATCACAGATCCATGGAGGTCTACCAGCCGCTCATGCTTTGGTAGAGACCTGGAGAAAAGGTTCAGCATGACTGACAAGAGAAAGCTTGCAGACCAGTAGTCCTGTCTAGTTTATTAAATCCATCCTAGTTTCTTTGCATGGAAAAAGTCTCCCAATACCTGCCCTTGGCAAGCAGTAGTATTAGAAGTACAGGCAACCACCACCAAAACTGTGCCATCTAATGGCAACTAACTCCAGCTATTTCCAGTTATTCTCAATTTTTAAAAAAAGTGATACAAGACTGGTTACAAAACAGACTCAGCTGTCTACACTGAAGGAATGGAATAGCCAGTGCTTCGAGGCAAGTTAAAAAAAAGTTCCCCACCAAGTAGTTCTATTAGTGTTATTCCGAGTTCACTGCAGAGGACTGCTTCTGGGGAGAAAGAGCGTGTAGCACTAAATTAAGAGAGGAGCCCATATATTCAATGCCAAAGCCACGGTAGCCAGAACAGTGTGCTACCATGCCATGCACAGTCTGATTTTTTTTGTTTCAAACATTCTTTTCTATTGCTTCATTACACTTCACTCTTTACTTATCTTACTTACTCATCTCTGCCTAGATTTGGAACATAACACTGAGGTGTAACAGTCTCCTGGTGGTCTCTCTTGGCTCCTTTGTATTTTCCATAAATATTTGCCTGCCCCCTCCTCCACTGTCCGGTTTATTCCTTTTGGTTGAAGACTTCCCATTTCAGTTTCAGCTGAATGGTTGTCTCACCACTGGTCTCATGTTCCCAAGTTTCTTAATGACCTATGGGGAAGTTCTGAGCACTCTTGAATTCTGGAAATAATTTAAGTTATTATTCTTTTTATGTATAACAGCTTGATCTGGGTTTTTTATAACAACTTATATTGTCAGTCATTTTACCACTTACTTTGATTTCTGAGTTACTGTGAGAATGGTTCAAATATCCCTATTGTATTGTAGGCCATGGAGAACTGTGGGACTGGAAGGCCTACTTAAGAAATATATGTGGTGTGCCATGTAAGTTGAAAGAAAGATACAGTTTTTGGCCATACTGAAAACAAATAGTTATTAAGCTAATATCAAGTGCTTATTCAGAGCTCTGGCTGTTAACCCAGACCCAGCAATATGAAACACAAAAAGATGGTGTTAGGTCAAAAAAAATGGTCTGTTAAATAACTGTGTAAGCAGTGAGACTTGGGGAAGGCTTTCTGTTTGGGTTGTGTTTTTTAGAAGCTTGGCTTATAAGTGTTTAACCGTT